ACCTCTTTGCCTTTTGGCTGCGTGCAAGTGGGTCCTTGTGACACACGGGGATGGGGGCAGCCAGCGCTCAACCTGTCATCCACGTGGCTGGCCTTGTACGTAAGAGGTTATGAACAGGTGGAGCTTTCCTTACACAGGTGGAGCTTTCCTTACCTCTTCCCCCTCCCCCTTTTTTCCTTTTCCTTTTTTCTTTCCCCTTTTTTGCGCTCTGATTCACAATGTGACAATATATTATAGTCACATATATATATATTTTTTCTTCTTTTTTCGGCAATTTGTACTTTTTTTTTTTTTCCCCCTTCTTTCTTTAACTCCGTCTCTGTCGGTAGTGTCGAAGGCTTTATCTGTCCCCACCTCGGCAGATAGGACAGCTACGGTGAGGATGACGTGGATGTTCACAAGGATACCCAAGGAGAGCTGCGCCAGCACAGCATTCAGCAGGACGGCTAGCACGAACCATCCCAGGATGACGTGGATGTTCACAAGGATACCGAAGGAGAGCTGCGCCAGCACAGCATTCAGCAGGACGGCTAGCACGAACCATCCCATCAAAACAGTCCTGACAGAGGACATGTTGTCCACATGTCAAAGAAACAGCAGGGCGTTCATCACAGTGCGGCATCATACAGTTCTGATAGCGTCCTTGGGCACAAAAGGGACCACGTACATCCGGGTGATAGGGATGTGTACAATGAGGAATCGTTGGACACCCTTCAGCACAGACGGCGGCAGTCTCAATAGACTGATAATGGCTATGGCATAGATGATAAACTCCACAGCCAAGGTGCACCGCGTCTCTGTCCCAACAGGTGTCGCACGAGAGTCGGTCAATAATCCAGAATAAAGTATGATTCGGCAATGCACGCAAAAATTCATTTACGTTGAAAATAGCCTGAATCATCGTCCCACCATCCCACAGTTCCCACTGGGCAGCTGCACGAATGAGTGCCATATAATGCCCGGGTCTGTGTAAAATGCAGCCAGAAATATGAGGATGGTTATTGAAGTCATCGCCTGGCGTGGCATGATGCATAAGAAGGTGGCGACCGTGGAAAGCTAACTGTAAGACATTTACAGTAATGACTCCTGAGGCAGGACAGTTACTCCTGAGGTAGGACGGTTGCTACCTTCAGGAGGTGGACCATTATGGTCATACAACAACTGATTTTCAACAGCGTCAAGCTGATAAGCAATCGTAACAAAGTGAGATGCAGTATAACATTGAGGCTCATAAGCCTGTAGGCAGACATTTGTGGCTGTCGAACCACAAGCATTTGGTAGGTCTGCTCGCAGATCCGAATCGGTCATATGAGTCGGTGAAACTCCGACGAAACAGTTTGTCACAGCCCCTCGTTTGTTGTCCTCTTCTCTCTCTCTGCCTACGGTTTACCGGGCAGTTCTGTTTGTGACGATATATATCGTCACATATATGCATATATATCGTCAAACAGAGCTGCCCGGTAAACCGTAGGCAGAGAGGGAGAAGAGGACAAGAAACGAAGGGGGCTGTGACAAACTGTTTCGTCGGAGTTTCACCGACTCATCAGGAGGCTGATATATATGTGCATTACCCTCGTAAGAGTCGGTGACACTCCGACGAAACAGTCTGTGCTATTAGAAATAAAGGGTGTCACAGCCCCTCGTTTGTTGTCCTCTTCTCCCTCTCTGCCTACGTCTCCCCGGATGTCAATTTACTCTGATTTTGACTCAAGGTGACATGATTCGAACCTATGACCCTCTGTACCCAAAACAGACTCGCGACCAGACTGCGCTACACCTTGTTGTATTATATTTATTTATATACATTTATATACATCGCCATATATATGACAATATATAGTACAACAAGGTGTATATATTATATATGTACTAAAGGCTGCCATCGAGGTAAGCCAATTATCAACTCTAGACATTGCCGTCAAACAATCGGTCGGTCAGAGTTCGACTCGTCGACAAATCTGACACCACGCATGGAGCCCACCCTCGACCTCCCCCCCCCTCACCCTTCCTCTCTCCTTCCTTTCCTTTTTTTTTT